TACTACTACTACTACTACTTGGTAGGAGTACTGGTAGCATCAAGAACAGGAACAACTCCCAAAGCCTGAACCTGAGCCGCGGCCCAGCGTTGAGGTGGCTGCGGGTTTGGATGCGGCGATGCTGGTGGAGTTCATGGATTTGGCGATGTGGATCCTGGCTGCCAGAGCCTCCGATAGTGCCTAGAGTCGAACGACCGGAGGGAAGCGAAGAAACGGGAAGCAAGAGCCAAAGAACCAAGCTTCTCTTTGTCCTGGAGGTCGTCGGCTTGCCCTTGATCTGCATTCTGTGTCCGCTTCATTGCCGCTTGCTCGGCAAGATCCAGAACTTGACATTCACCACTCAAGATCCAAAAGCTCAAAAGCGATGCGTGTCTCAGATTTCTGTGGGGCGGTGGTGCAAGAGGATAAGCTCAGTTCGCCAGCGGCCCAGCCGTCTAGTGTCAAGCGCCAAGAGTTTGAGAGCTGGTGACCCAGACTGTGTAAGCAGGATTGGTATGGCGAATGTGGAACATGGCATCCCGGCAACATCCAGTCTTGCCGTACCAGGGACTTAGCTGCGTGACCGCAGGCAGTTGGCTATGCTGGCTTCACAGCGGCATAGCATCCCGGCGCAACACGTTTCTTTGATATTTTCCTCTTCGTCTTGGTTTCTGTTGCGTGTGTTTTTTCTAGATCCCCCTCCTCATTGGCACAAGGGATGATGATGATGATCATGATGATGACGGTGATGGTGCCAATGATGGTGATGGTCATGATGACGACGAGCATCATCGTCGTCATCATCATCGTCATCACCATCACCATCATCAGCGTCACTGTCATCTTGGTGTTCTTGTCAGCCTTCTGACTGCTATGTCGTTCTGCTTTCAGCACCGGCCGCACGCCCAGGTGTGGTTCGTCGTCCTAGTGGTGGAGAAGGCGGTGGCAATGGCTCAGGGGGCATTTGCAGTGCGCCGAGTGCAATGGCTCCGGTCAATGCCAGCACCCAGGTCAAGGACTCGCAATAGAGTTGAGCCATATGCCTCGACCTCCCTTCGCAAGTCTGCGCAAGTTTGAGCTCTGAGAAAAGCACATCTGTGTTTTCTATGGACTAGAGAGGTTGTGAGCATATCGGGAGGCGGGAGAAGATCTTGCAGGACTCTGCTGGTGGAGCACATCCCCCCCGAGTTCTGCTCTAATGACAGCGGCTCGTACTTATGGAGAAGACCTCCAGTGCATCGAGGGAGAAACAGAGTGAACGTCCGGCATCTGCATTTTCCCTGTCCTGGCAACCGACGTAAACCCGAGGCTTATCCGCCTACTTCAATTCTGTCTTCGGCCGCGAAGTGGTGGAGACCGCGCATGTCACTCGCAATACGCAGGCCGCCACGGGCACGGTTTCGCACTGTGCACTTAGCACTTAGCGTGGCTGCTGAACCACGACGCCTCCTCAAACAGCCTCGATACTTCCACCCAAGTCCCGTACCCTGCACCTATCTGCCCACCAACACGCCCTAAACCATCGCAATAAGGGACACCTCCTGCTCAAAGGATGGTAACAAGGGCGACTTGCAGAAACCTGAAGTAATCAACCTTTTTTCACCCACCTCTAGCCCCCAGAGAGCCCACGGCACAGCAGACTGCCCTCCCCCCTGTCTTCCCTCTGTCCCTCCCAGCCGAAGAAGGGCCAACTCCTGGTAGCCTCGTAGATTCTTTTGGTCGGAGGCTCTCCGAGCTCTCCTCTCGAGCGTTCAGCTTGCCGAGGCGCAGCTTCAAGAGGCCCTGTTTTGTTGGAGCGGAGGTTGAGGGGATTTAGGGGATTTAGGGGATTTCGGAGATTTCGGGGTTTCAAAGGGTTTCAGGATGCTTCAGGAGCCTAGCGGCGTCCCCTTGCCCTTGCGCGCCCCCTCTTAGAGCCCTTCCGCTTTCCCTTCTTCTCTTCTTCTCCCTGGCGGCCCGGGCTCTCCAGGGTGAGGTCTACCTGCAGAAGACCGGGCGCCGCCGCTGGGCTGCAAGAAGCTCCGCTCGGAGGGAACTTCCAAGCCGTGCCCGCGGCTACGTCTCCGAAACTCTCCGCCCCTCTTTCGCCGCGAGTTCTCAGCCCTTGCCCTTATTTTGTCGCTGCGTCTTCAAAGGTGTTGCTTGAGCTCGTTTGAGCTTCCAGGACCGACGATGATGAGGCCGAGATCGGTGCAGGACTTCACCCTGGACGGGCCCGTCCGCGGCGAGCTGCGGGATGTCATCGACCACTGGTCCGAGGCGCAGGGCCCGAGTCCCCGAAGTCCAAAAACCCTGCGCCCCGAGCACCGCTTCGGAGCTCCGAGCTGCGGAGAGAGGTGCTGCAAACCGAGCGCTCCGCCCTGCTGGCCTCTGCCTAAGAAACGCACAAGTTTTCTCTCGGGAAGCCGACCGATTAAGAGTTGGGGGGACCTCCGACGTCTTCGCTTCCGAGGCGGAGCAGCGCCGCCTTGGATTGAAGGACGCCGCGGAGCCGGATTTCATCCGAGTGCCCTTGGCTCAAGATCTGAACAAGAAAAAAGATCCGCCTCAGAGGCACTTGGGGTGTGTCGGATCCGTCGGATCTGCGATGGTCTTGTTTCGAGTGGGTTCGAGGCTTACTGCACCAGCGCCTTTGTGACCTTCTGGAGCCGGAGGGACGCAGAGATCGCTTTGAGGGTCCAGTACCGCGCGGATGGGCTGCAGTTCTTGGTCTCCAGCGCTCCGGCTCCGGACGACGTGAGGCATCAGGATCTCCAGAGCCTTGGCCTGATAAAGGGCCCCACAGAGATGTGATTCGGGTGTGTGATCTGATAGGAGATGATGATGAGACCTATAGCTGTAGAGAGCGTGCGCCAGCGTCGCAAGCCTGCGCTGAAGCGCAAGGAAGGGCGGTGCCGTCTGGGGAGATATGCTCATGGGCTACCTGTGCATCCTCTTCCTTTTCTGGGTCTTCGCACCCTTCGTCGTGGCCTTCTCGGCCGTGGCGCAGCTGGAGACCTTGGAGACCGTGGTGACCCGGATCTCAACGGCGCAAAAGGGAGCTAAGGGCTATAAGGCTAAGGATGGCAACATGAGATCGACCCCCCCCCCCCTTTGAATCGGCTCCCCCCTCTCCCCTTCGGCATTTGAGGTCCCAAGCCTTCACCACATCGTGACCTACTGGCCGCTCTTCCGCTCCCTTTGGGACGGCCTGGCCAGCGCGTTCGCCCTCGCCCTCTTCATGAGACGCCTGAACGCAGGAGTCTTTTTCTGGTAAAGGCTCGGCCAGGCCGGGTCTACGATGGGGCTCTCTTTTTTCTTGGGGCCCTAAACCCTAAAAGCTCTTTTTAATCCCTAAACCCTCTAAACCCTCCCTCCCTCCCTCCTCTCCCTCCTTCTTACAGTATAGCTTCTTCTCAGCTGGCTCTGACCTGAGGCTGCCTGCCCTTCTGCCTCTACGTCGTCTGCAGCCGCTTGTTCGTCACGAAGTCCGAGAGACGCTGCCAGCTCCGGGTCCAGAGCTGGTACTTCTTCTTCCTCGCCGTCTTCGTCCCTTGGGCCAAGGGGGCCTTTAGAAGAAAAGCAGCAGACACTTCGGAACACAGACAGAGAGAGAGAGAGAGACCCTGTAAGGGGGACGAGACATTAAGGGGGATCTTTGCTTTGTAGGTGCTTCTGGGCCTGGCGTAGGTTCTTCTTTGATGGGAAAAAAAGAGAGGTGCTGCTGGTACCCGCGGTGGGCTCCTCCGTCTTCTACACGATGAGCCGCCTGGTGGATCATCCGAAGGCACACGGGGACCCCCCGGCTACTGTGTGCATCTGTGTGTCTGTCACTGTTTGTCTGTCTTCTTATTGGATCCGTTTCAGGAGATCTTCTCGCTGCTGGCTTCTACGTTGCCATATTCCACACACTTCTACCTGAGCTACTTCCCGCTCCAGTGGACGTTTCAGGCCGCGTATAAACCCGCGGGTGGCATGAGCTGAGGATGTTAGACCTGTGCGTCCTCGTCCCTATCGTCTGCTTTGAAGGTGCTGGAGGCTGCACGCTACCCCATCGCAATGAAGTACCTGGCGATGAAGGCCCGTCTGCAGATGCAGAGAGATGGAGGGAGGCTTCGGCGATGTCCAACTCTCCTTTCGTAGAAATGCCGGGCCTTTTTTTGCATCTGTACATCGCCAAAATCTCTTCGAGAGGGCTGCGGGTCGGCTCTGCTCGAGTCGGAGGCCCTGTACGGCGAAGATCAAGCCAAGACGCTGTGCGAGCCGGAGGACCAGGCCTACTACGGCATAGGCAGGGCATGCATGGGGCTGCAGCTTGCGGTCTTTCTGGGAGAGAGTGACGCAGGTGCTGGAATGTGACGCCTTAGCACGCAGGTGCTCGGTCCGCGCGGTGCTCTTTGCTGCTGTCGATGGCCCTGACCTTCTGCAGCCTGTCGCCCTTGATCTGCGCCTTGGGCCTCGCCACCTTCGGCCTCTGCCGGCTCACCTACGGCGGGGAAGAGCGGGAAAGTGGGATAACGTAGGCTAGGCCGCTAGGCTGGTGTCGCTCCGTGGTGGCGGCCCGACAGGATATCTGCTGGTCTACTCCGAAACAACGAAGCCGGACCTTGGGGGCGAATTCTGGTGCTTGCAGCTTCAGCACCTTCAGAAGGGCTTGTTTCTCTACGCCGCTGGGCTTTTCAGCCACCGCCGCTGCCTAGCCGTGTGCCCGTGTGCTCTGGTGTGCTCGTGGCAGTTCACTGCCTTTCAAGGTAGCTTTGATGACAAGCGTGCTGCTGGAGAGGCCCGGGCCCCGGCGGCGAGGCCAAGCCCAAGAACCCAAAGCCGTCTTCATGCTGAGGTCGGACTCCTTGGGCCCTCCGGGGATCGCTGCCGGCGCCGGCGCCGCCTGGCAGGAAGCAGAGTTGACCTTGTCTTGGCCCGCCCGAAAGCAGAATAGGCAATCGCAGCTAATCGCCAGCGATAAGGCTTCAGATTTAGAATTGTGCCTTCTGGATGTCGTGCTCCTTGAGCTTGGGGGGATGATGCAGATGGCCTGGATATGACAGGTCTTGCTCCTTCAGCAGTACCTCCAGTTCAAAAGGAAGTATCAGTGGCGATGCCTGCCCTTTGAGGTGCGGCCGGGAGGAGTGAGGGCGAGAGTTGATGAGAAAGGACGTCCCGCTCAGGACCTCGTCCACGTCGATGATGACAGGGCATCCGTTGCGGTGACCGGGGTGGAGTACCAGCAGCCGGAGTTGCGGGAGACCTGAGATTGACAGAGCCGAGATGCCGGCTCGAGGGCCGAACCGTGAAGGCTGTCGCGCCCGAGCCCAAGGCCAGGGCGGCCGAGCCTGAGGCCAAGGTCAAGGCGGTGCAGACCGGAAGAGGCAGCAACGAGACCTGCCTCGGAGGGAGAAGGGCCTGAGATCCGCGCCGTCTCCCCCGCGGCACTGCAAAAGGGGGGTTCCGGACGACGTCGACTGCTTTGCAAAGGAGTGGCGCTGTAGAAGGACAGCGGTCTCACCTCCAGCTGCTGGGCTTGCAGCCGCTTGCAGCCCAGAATGAAAAAAGGGGGGGGGGGGGGCGTCCTCTTCTTCCCGCGAAGAACCAGCAGACCCTGCAAGATCCCCGGCAGCGGTTGCGGTTGCTTTTTCGCATCAGGACGTGGGCTCCTCGGTGCCGGCTGCTTAGAGTCTTTTTGAGCGAGGCAGAAGCAGAGTGTCGACGGCCAGAACTGCGCAGCTGAGGCCTTTCCGGGAAAAAGCACCGAGCGGGGGCGTCAGCAAGGGCGTGGCATCGGCCTCTTTCAAGGGCCTGGTCGGAAGCAGTCGAAGCAGCGTGCCGGGAAGAAGCGTGCCGTCTGGCGCGCTTTTGAGCGGGAGCCGCTCGGCGCCCTCAGCGCTGACGGCCGCGGGGGCCCTGGGCCTGTCGCTCTACTCTGCTTCTACTCTGCCTCAGCAGTTAGAAGAGCACCGTTGAAGGCGGCGGAGGCGAAGGAGCCGGCGGAGGAGGGCGAAACGAGGGCTCCTCGCCGCAAGAAGGGAGGCGGAGGCTCCAAGGAGGCTTTGCTCCCGGCCTTCGACCGACTCTCGCTTCGCCGGAGCCTCGGAAAGAGACACGGAGCGCGCGGAGCACGCGGAGGGAAAAGGCTGCCTCGGCTTTCTCTTCCCTTCCAGCTCCCAGGCCGTCGGCAAAAGCTCGAGGCCTTGCTGTGCGCAGCTCAGGGCAGCCCTCCCCGCGCAGCGCCGCGGCTCCCAAGCACCATCGTTCTCGAGTTTCAATCTTCCAGGTTGAGGACTGCTCCTAGCACCCAAGACCACGGCCTTGAAGACTCTTAAATTTCTTGAACCCAAACCACCTAAACCCGAATCCCTGGATGCCAAAGCGTGTCCTGGCCTTGGAGCTTCGGAGCCTTCCGAGGCAACGTGCCGGCGGCGAGTTCCCACAGCCAGCTACTCGGGAGACTCAGAACATGCGATGGGATATGTCGCTGTCTTTTTCGGGGCAAACACATCGTGAAGGTCCCAGCGAAGACGTAGACGTCTGGTTGCCCATGTTCATAGAGTTCAACCACACGCGTAGTAGACTCTCTCGCCCTCATTGTAGCACGCATAGACCCCGTTGCCAAACTCAGTGGCATCGACAACCAGGACGGCGACGTAGTTCAGATCTCCGTGAACTCAATCCAGCTCGGAAACAAGATGTAGCTGACGTAGTCGTCATGGACCTGTGATTGCCATTGGGGTTACCGAGCCACCGTCAAAACTGGTCCCTGTAATCTTTCGCATGCCGGAGCAGATTGTCGTCCTTCAGTGGAAAGGTTTTCCCCAGATGAAGCCTCTCGCTTTCAAATTATGGGGGGATAATCTGCAGAGATCTGCTTGGCTTGTCTTCTGCCACCGGCAGGGGCTGCTAGGGTTGGCTTCTCCCCAAAGTCTGCCACCTCCGCCCCTCCCCTGCTGAACGATGCAGCGACCTTTGCAACGCTTGCAGTCTCCAAACGTCAGCAAATTGTTCCTGCATGTCGCCGTGGAGAAGTTGCCGTAGCGTTGCCATTGGCTCAGTCTCTACGAAGAGGATGCTGGCCAACACGAGGCACAGCTTGCTAATTGTGCTAACAGAACAGCAGTTCTCCTTCCTGCCTTCTCCTCATGACACGGACCTGACTGTCCCTGCTGTCTTTCAGCGTGGTTCAAAACAAGCTCGAAATCAGGCTGATTGCAGCTCGCAGGTTGCGAGACACAGCAGGGCGAGGTCTTTGTTTGAAGGGCGTTGGCCGCAGGGTGGATTCCTTTGTCGAGCCCTCGCCCTTTTCAGCCGCAAGCGATGCCGGGCTGGTGACCGGGAATGGCTCAGTCGCGTGCCTCAGCACCTGGGGCTTCAGCTATTCCAGCGCACCTTCGCGGGCTCAGTCCGAAACCCTACCCCTTCACGGCCGATCACATTGACTCGCAGATGTCATACACACATTTCTACTCACATATACCTACCTCCCTGCCTCCCTACCTCCCTACCTGCCTGCCTGCCTACACTTGCTCACTTACTTGGTTGCTGGCCTGCTTGCTCTCTTACTTGCATGCAGGCTGATATACATACGCACGTATATACATGCAGACATAGATCATGGAGTTGCAGACGACTGCTACCTTGCATGGTTGCTCCATTGCAACGGCATCTCTTCAGGCTCCAGCGTCCCCAGTGCTTTGAGTGAGGGTTTTTTTCCTAGGCGCAGGGTTGCCTCGAGTTCGGATTTGGGGGGACGGTTTGGCGTTCAGCTGTTGTCTTACAGCAGCTAAAAGAGAGCATGACCACCACCACCGATCACCACAATTTCGGAAGCAGAGAGCCAGCTGATGAGGGCAAGGTAGGGCCTCAGGGATATCTCCTTTGCTGGCTATTCCGTGGTGCTGTTGCCATGGCCGTCAGTATGACCGTGTTCCTTTGAGGCCACAGAGACATTGGGGGCTTGGGAGGGTCGTCGCTCCGACTGCGCGAGGCATGGGCTGCGGTGCCTCCACTAGGCAGAAGGACCTTTCAAACTTTCGGGTTTCTTAAGACTTGGTAACGGGTCTAGGGCCCTAGGGGTCTGGGCTGCTAGAGCTTGGCCCGTGTGATGTTTCATTGCCTCCCAGTTAGGACGATCGCCAAGCTTTTCTCATCGTGCCCCAGGCGCAGACTGTGCATGAACTCAAGCTGCGACATGTGCTCTTCATTGCTCTTCTGTCCGCATCTCGACCAGGTGTCGGAATTCAGTGCTGCTCGGATCCCAGAGCTCCTCCTCGTGCTAGGGCTGGGAGAGCTGCAAGCAGAAGCTCTTCTGAGGATGAAGACGAACCCGAACCTCCAAGAGACATTCGGGACTTCTATGTGCACCTGGGCAGCAGATGGGTGCAGCAAGAGGCAAGAGACAACAAGGGACCAACACGACCAAGCAAGTCGAACTCTGGCATGGATAGGCCCCAAGCTTCCTGCATTGCCTGGGATCTCCTATGAAAGATGTCCAGAAGTGTAGGATCGGATCAACCACGGAGCACAAGCATGGCGGCCTCAACGACAACTCACTGCGAGCTGCTGTCGCTGATGCTGTTGCCACCTCCACGACAACCACTAGTACCACCACCGCCACCATCACTCAGGCTTGGCGAAGTGCTGGGTGTCCTCGGCTGCACTTCTCTTTCATATTCGGTGTTTTCCGCGGACACTCCTCCGAAACCACACAACCCCAAAGCCATACCCCAAGACTACACCCTGAACCCTTGTACTAACACTTACAGTCCTACTCAAGACCAAAGCCCTCGCACCTGACGCTTTTCTGCGTTGAAGTCTCCGAGGAAGCGGTGCCTTCGGACAAGTCCGCAGCGCCTGCTTGATCAAGGCGCCTTTTACCCAGCCACCCTAAACCCTAAACCCTAAACCGAGCCCCCCACGAGCCTCTGAAGAAGGTATCCCAGACTCTGATCCGGTGGAATCCGCAACCTGAGATGTGGATGAAGCATGTGGGCTCCCATGTTCTTTCAAGATCCCCCAAATCAAAAAGGCGCAGGGGGGCCCCTTAGCCCCTTATGTAATCCGCTCAATATGCCTGGAGCCCTAAACCCTAAACCCTAAACCCTAGACCATAAACCCTCAGCCCCGGGGACCTCTGAATCCAAAGAGAGCTGAGCTCTGCTAGCACACGATGTCAGCAGGATCCGAGCGAGCTTCGAGCTGTCAAGGTGTTAGAGAAGGACGCCTTCGGGCTGCTTAGGGCTTTGGGGTTTTGAGGGGTTTTTAGGGTTTTTTTAGGGGCTTTTAGGGTTTTTTAGGGGGTTTTAGGGGTTTTAGGGGTTTGGGTTCAGGGCTTGAGGGTTTGGGGGTAAGAGAATCCAATGAGTAGCCAGGCTGCTACAATCACACCGAAGCCGCAAGGCGGTGTCTTGGAACCTCTTGAACTAGGACTTAAAGCAGTTTAGGCCCCTCAGTGGTTTGATTAGGGTTTTCAGGTCATTCTCGATCAGAAGCATTGTAAGTCTGCCCGTCCTTTCAGCGTTTGCTGTGGCTATCTGCTAGCAGTCTTGGCATACATGGAGATTGCACTGGGCACGAAGGCCATGCATTCGTGTTTCTTCTACGACTCAGTCTTCATCTCGCCTAATGCAGGGGATGGCCCTGCACTCGAATGTTGTCCGTGTTGAGAACGAGTCTAAACCCTAAACCCGCAAGCCCCACCATCATCGTGGCAATCATCCTCATCCTCGTTCTCGCAATCGCGCCACCATGACAAGCAACATCAGCATCAACATCATCACTATCATCGTCATGTTTAGACGTCGAAGTCATTCTACAATCCAATATACCTTGGTGAATCAAAGCGTATCAAAGAAAGCTCTGAAAGTACAGTATTCGGGCCATAATTCAGAACGGCTCCTTGTCATCTGAACTGGAGATCTCAATGTTCGGCCACAGTGGCTCTGTTGCTATGGTGTTCACTGTTCCAGTACTGTTACGGTCACCCGCAATATGTATGTATCACGGTTTGTCTAGTACAGCAACAATGAAAA